CCTCTCTCCAAACAAATTTAGCCCAAAACCCCAAAACCCCAAAACCCCAAAACCCCAAAACCCCAAAAGAGTTAGAAATAATTGAAACCCAAAAAGTAAGAGCTGATGATTACCATTTGAATTTGTATAAAGTAGCCATTAATAGTAGAACTCAACTAAATGACTAGCACACCATTGCTTAGTCATTAGTCAGCATTCTTGGAGCGATCTGCATTGCCATCAGTTCCTGGAACAACAGTTTACAAGCATAAGGCAAGCCCACTTGACAAATATCAGTGTTGTTCTGGCATCCCTTGCAGAGGTATTTCTGCTGTCTTACATTTGCTTGAGCCATGAGTCCGCACTCTCTACACACATGGACGCTGTAGCAATCAGAAACGTCGTAGAGTCTTTCTTTAAGGAACCTAGCTGCTCCATGTGAGACCATACAATCTCTCTCCATTTCTCCGAATCTGAGTCCTCCATGTCTGGACCTTCCTTCAGTGGGCTGTCTCGTCAGAATCTGGAGAGGGCCTCTAGACCTCGCGTGAATCTTGTCATCAACCATATGCTTGAGTCTCTGATAGTAAGTGGGGCCCAAGAATATTCTGGTGTCGAGTCTCTTTCCAGTCCACCCGTTGTACATTACTTCGTTTCCTCTCTTCTGGTAGCCGAGCGAGTGAAGATCATTGGAAATGTGCTCGACAGTAACATCTTGGAAGGGAGTAGCGTCCCCTTCTTTACCTTGGAAGCATGCAACCTTACTTGCTAGACACTCAACCAAATGGCCAATGGTCATTCTGGATGGAATGGCATGCGGGTTCACAATGATATCTGGGGTGATTCCTTCTTGAGTAAATGGCATGTCTTCTTGTCTGTAAGTCATTCCGATGGTTCCCTTTTGACCATGTCTTGAAGCAAACTTGTCACCAATTTGTGGGATTCTGATTGCTCTCATTTTGATTTTAGTGAAATTGTCTCCATCTTCGTTCGAAGTCAGAATGACAGAGTCGATAATTCCTTTCTCTGAGTGTCTGAGAGCAGTGGAGTCGTCTTTATTTGATTACATTTCCGTATTCCATGTCTCTTTCGAAGGTTCTTCTAGGTAAAGCAGTTTTGCCAATGATGATGTCGTCTCCGAGTACGTTCTTGCCTGGGAAAATAAGCCCATCCATGTCGAGTTTGGTGTAGTCGCCATGTCTCCTGCCAACGACGGTGACATCTGGAATCTCGAAGTGTTCTCCGCTCTTGGCAGTGTCTCAGTAAGTCCTGTAATAGGCAGACCTGAAGAAGCCTCTGTCGATAGCACTCTGGTTCATAATTACGGAGTCTTCTTGGTTGTACCCTGTGTAGCACGCAATGGCAACGATGGCATTGCAGCCAGACGGAAGTTCTTTGAAGTGCAAGAAGTCGAGCGCTCTGGTAATAACCAAGGGCTTCTGAGGGTAGTAAAGCACATGGGCCAGAGTGTCCATTCTTAGCTGGTAGTTGCTTGTGTAAACTCCCATGGCCTGCTTACCCATTGCACTTTGGTATGTGTTTCTGGGAGACTGGTTATGGTCAGGGAATGGAATGATTGAAGCTCACACTCCTAGGATCATTGACGGATGAATCTCGCAGTGAGTGTAGGTGCTACAATACTGTCTGTTCTGAAGATCTTCAACATTCATGGCAATCATTGATGTTTCTTCTTCCTCGACATCCAGGAACTCAACAAGTCCTTCAGCCAATGCTTCGTTAAAATCCATTGCTTGCGACTTGATTGTGCTCTGGAGTCGTTCAACGTGGCTTTTCTTAAGCAAGACCTTGTTGTTCTTGACAATGAAGAGAGGCCTCTGCACTCTACCCTGGTCTGTGTAGAACTTGATTTCTCGGTTGGTGATATCTCTGACAATGGAGATTTCTTTGGGAATAAACAGGCTTCTTCTCATTTCTCTGATGTTCGAGATCAAGTCTTCAGCGTCGTTATGTATTCCGATCCAACACCCATTGACAAAAACCTTGGTTGCATTGTGTATGTTCTCTGGTTCGATGGAAACCAAGTTTTCAGTTCCGTAGTTCTCGAGGATTTCTTTGAGCCTTTCAGCTGTGGATCCAACGGAAACAAAAGCCATCAGAGAGAGGTTCTTGACGAGTCCACAAGCCTGTCCCTCTGGTGTTTCTGCAGGACAGATCATTCCCCAGTGAGTATTGTGGAGCTGTCTTGGCTTGGTCAGTTTTCCAGATTTTTGTAAAGGTGTGTTTAGTCTTCTAAGGTGAGACAAACTCGAAGCAAAGGTCAGTCTGTTGAGCACTTGCGATACTCCAGTTTTTGACACTTCTCCTGCAGCATTGGTCCCCCAGTTGCCTGTTGCCAGTGCATACCTGAGGCCGTCTGTGATGACATCTTTCTTGAAGGCCTTACTGATGTTTAACGGCTGACCTCTGTCAGCTCAGTTTTTAAGAACTCTTCCGGCTTCTTTGACATACCTCCTGAAAATATTTCTAAATAACATTCCGAGCAAAGCTCCTGCCATGTCGAGTCTCTTCTTACCATAGTGATCTCTGTCATCTTCAGTGGCTCTTCCGAGATGAGCACTGAGAAGGCGGTGGACCATGTATCCAACGAAGTAAGCCTTCTGGGACTCACAGTGGTCTTCAGTCGAAATGTGAGGAAGAAAGTGCTTCTTCAAAATGTCTCTGGCATGTCTGATTCTCTCTTCCCTTGAGACAGCTCCAGCAGCACCTCTGCTTCCGATCCAACTCAGTGCGTCTTCTTGCTTCAAGAACGGAGTTCCTTCTTCTAGTGAGGCCCTCATGGCTTCCATCATGTGGGAGTCCTTCTGGTCGTATCAAATTTTGTCAAGAATTTCTTTGTCTGAGATACAGTTGAGAGCTCTGAACAAAATGGCGATTGGGATGTCTTGGTTGATGTAGTGGACAGTTGCACATATCGTTTGGCCGAAGACTTTGCCACCACTGAAGCTTCCTCCTGCTCTTCTCTGGCCCTTTGAATAAAGTTTCACTGAGAATTGGTTTGGAGGCCTGTTAGAAGCATCAACTTGTGACCTGATTTCAGCGACCCATGAGAACTTAGACGGCTGCTTTTTCTGAAACACATACACAAAGTTGTTGGCCATTCTCTCTTGAGCTACGAGCACTTTCTCACTGCCGTTGATGATGAAGTATCCGCCCTGGTCGAAGAAGCATTCTTTCATTTCGTACTCATTCTCAATTCTGTTGAGACTTCAAAATGCAGATTTGATCATGACTGGGACTTTGCCTATGTAGACTTCCTTTTCCTTGCTCTGCTCGAGAACTTCTTCGACTCCCTTGGAGTTTGTCACTTTGTCTCTCTTGGTAACTTCCACATAGACTGAGGTCTGGTAGGTCAGGTTCCTTAGCCTGGCTTCGTTCGGAAAAATCACATTATACTTGTCGTCATACTCTTTGAACCTGGGCTTCTCGTTGACTTTGACTTGGCCCAGCTCGATCTCGTACCTGAGGTCTCGGTCCTGGTTCTCGTTGCCTAAAGTTAAGCACAATCTTACTGCCGGGGGCGTACTGCTTCTCAGGAACAATACTCATGATCGAGTTCTCAGCCACGATGTCCTGAATGGTGTAGCTTAAAAATCTGTCGAAAGACGAGATCTGCTGCGAAACAAGTCCGTGCTGCTGGAAATACGCTTTGATAAGGGCCCAGGCATCTTCCTGGGTGATCTCTTTGGAGTTGTCGTTGTCAGGATCCATCTTAAGAAGTTTACTAATTATTAGAATAAATTATTGTTTCCATTTGCAAAGATTTTAAAGGGGTTTTGGGGTTTTGGGGTTTTGGGGTTTTGGGGTTTTGGGG